GCGTGCCGCGCCTGCTGCGCAAGGGCAACTACGCCGAGCGGGTCGGGGCCGGCGCGCCGGTCTACCTGGCGGCCGTGCTGGAGTACCTGACGGCCGAGATCCTGGAGCTGGCGGGCAACGCGGCGCGCGACGCAGCTGCCCAAGAAGACCGAGAGCCACCACAAGGCCAAGGGGAAGTGAAGCATTGGGATTACAGGCGTGTATCTACCACTGTTTTTTTTCCTCTTAAACCAAAGGCTCTTCAGAGCCATCTACATTTTCACGTAAGAAAGCTCGTAACCTTGTTTCAAAGAATCGGTTTTTCAGTGCAAACGGCCGAGTTGGTATTTAGACGTTCCGTGACCTTCAGTGGTACATGTACCCCACGACATCTCTTAAGGAAAATGCTTACACGATAATGCTTTCGTTTCTAAACAGGGTTGCTGACCCAAACGTCACTTAGCAGCCCTCAGTAAGTACAGGGTTTTCCTAGAAGGGAGAGGCGCTAAAACAACTGATGGGGTTTTGGGGAAAGGAGGAAGATAGCTGGGATGAGGTGGGGGAAAACGGCAAAACGACAGCGTTGCTGGAACAGCGAGTTTCACCCCTGATCTCAACGCCGTAGGGCTGCCCCTATGTACGGCAGCACTTAGGAACGGCAACGTGCAGGTCGCTTTCGGTCCGTGCACTTCACCCGTGCTGTTCCAGGAATATACCCCCCGAGGTCTCATGGGGAAAGCAGTGGGAGTCTAGGCTACTGGAGGAGAGAAGAAACGAGTGTTTTACCGGTAGTTTTCGCAATCCCGGACACACACATCCGCCAAATCACGATTAGCATCATCCAGGGTCAAATCATTGGTTGTAGACATTACAGTTTGCAAAACTCGGAACCGAAAGTTCAGAAAATCAATTGGGTCGCAGACTATAAGAGAAGCGGATTGGAATTTGGAGAAAGTTATCCAATCAGAGATCTCAGTTATTCGCCAATGAGATCGTTGAGCTTTTAGCCAATGGAATTATTGCGCGGGACTTTTGAAAATCAGTTAGGCCAATTAGAATGACTTTCGGGTATATATAAAGGCAACGTTTGGTTCGTTTTTTAAAGTGGCTTTTTTCCTCAGATAGTTATGGCCCGTACAAAGCAGACGGCGCGCAAGTCCACCGGCGGCAAGGCCCCGCGCAAGCAGCTGGCCACCAAGGCGGCCCGCAAGAGCGCCCCGGCCACGGGCGGCGTGAAGAAGCCGCACCGCTACCGGCCCCGCACCGG